TATATATATGTATATATATATATATATGTATATATATATAGTATTGCTTTCCGTTAATACACATGTAATGCTACTATTTAAACGGCGTATATATGAAAAATCTGTTTTACACAAGTGTGTGTGTGTGTCTCCTCAAAGGTAAGCGCATCCCTGTTGTCGACGCAGCGGGAGGAACTTCAGGGAAAGCTTTCAAACTGGGACGTCAAGCCTCAGAGTCTCGCAGAACGTGCTGCTGATGATCCCAGCGACTACGTGACCTGACCTTTGCTTACCCTCTGTGTCCCCGGCCTGCTTCCGCTTTCAGCCACTGCACGCCCTCAATACCCTGCCGACACTGATCCTGGGATGCAGAAGTGCGACTCTGATGACAAGAGCAAATGCATTTTAGCGGCAATCAACAACAAAAAATCTTCCTATGTCGTCTGAAAGTTGCTGGCTGGAGAAAAACTTCCCATTTTCTGAGCATTGCCTGCATTGAAACATGTGTAAGTGATGATGTGTAAGTGAAAATACCCACATACCTATAATTATACTGGCTTCTATTATGGACATCAACCTCTGTTTGGTGTATTATAGCCCCAGGTTTATGAGAGGAACTTAACAGCTACAGATTTATGAATTCAGAAATCCTTTGTACTTGTACATTTGTAAAAATCTACTATCTTTCAACCAAGACATGAACTGAAAACGGTTAAATTTCACCAAATTATTTTGATAGCACTGAAGTTCATGTTTTGCTTTATGGGAGATCTCTCCCCAAACAATTTTGTGAAGGATCTATCGATACAGTTAATGTCTGTCATCACTAATTTATCATTGGTGACTTCACTAATCTCAATTTTGGCTTTTTGGAACATTATTGGGAGAGATGTTCAGTCAAGGAAGATGGATCGTGCATGCTAAATATCAGTTTTACTTTTCAAGGCAAAATGCCAAGTGGGTGCTTTGAAGTAAATTGCAATCCCACTTTAAAAAAATGCAGACATGAAAGGTGTGTGGGAGTCTACTTCCTTTACATTAAAGGAATAGTTTGCCTGGGTTGAGATGAGAATATCAACCCTAATCTCGTGTACGGTAAATATGAAGCTGTAGCCAGCAGCCCGTTAGCTTAGCTTAGCATAAAGACTGAAAACACAGGGCTCTGGCAAAGGTAACAAAATCCGCCTAAAGCTCACTAATTAACATGTTATATCTGACAGAGTCAGGTGTTTACCCCTGTTTCCAGAATGTATGCTAAGCTAACCAGCTGCTAGCTGTTGCCATATATACTGTATTTAATAGACAGATATGAGATTGGTATCTTTTAACTCTGCCAGAAAGCAAATTGGCGTATTCCCTAAAACAAATTATTCCTATAATTGTGAATCACGCCATTGAGAATTTTAACAGATTGTTGTAAAATTTCATCTTCGTGATGGGAACAATTCTGCAGTCCACAACTCCCATTAAATGTATTGTTATATGATAACAGTTCTTCCCACCTGTGCGCCACACTCCAACTTGTAATTACTGGAAAGGTATTAACTGAAGCCTAAGTATGACGTTAACTGTACTACACACAGTGTCGTTCTTTCACAATATCACTTTAGCTCTGTTTCCCTCTAATCTTACTTTAACTGGCGAGCCTGCTGTCCTCAATCCTCGCTGCTCCTTCACAGTTTTACAGATTTTTGTGAGGTCTTGCCAATTTCTGTAATTGTCCCATAAACATTTTTCATCTTTTCTTTTTTTGCACACAATCAGCAGCGACTCGCGCATGCAATGTTGTTTTACTACCTGGCCAGAGATGAAAACAGTGAGATCTGGAAACTCGACCTCGTTCAGAGGAAACTTGGAGGTTATAGGTGCAGAATGAGATGTGGCTTTGTGTCGACATGCTGACCCCTTAATGAACTGTAGTCTCCATTCTGCTCTGAATTACTCTATGTGCTTTGTTCCAAGGTCTGCCTTCTGATTTTCCTTTCTCCCAACTTCTTTTGCCTCGTTCCTCTAAATTGCAGGCACTTACTGTGGATACAGCTTTCATTTTGTTTCAAACAAATGTGGGTCAAACTGCTTTCCCAGAGCTGTATCATCCTCTCTTTCATTCACTACTACTCTGTGATCCTTAGTGCTATGTTACAGTAGTTTAATTTACCTCCCATACTGTCCTAATTGAGCTTCAGTTGACTCATGAGCCGCAGACTTATTAATTCTGTGTAATTCCATGCGTGTCTGTTTTTCTTGAGCCCTTTTAGCCCCAACAGCTCTTTTCAGTTGCCAAACAGAGATGTGGGCTTAATTAGACTGCATTTCCAGGGTTATATATTTGGATTGTGTGCTCTTCTGTCAGCGAAAGCTACGTAATTTGCCTTTATTATTGATGAATTGTGTGTGAAGCAGTGTTGCCTATATCTTCAGGATTTTCTTATGGAGTGCAATAGTTGTTATTATGACAAAGGTAGAAATGTGACCTAAACCAAGAAAACAGTTACAGAGGGATAATGTTCACACAGGAGAGCACACACTCATGCAAAAATGTGATCTCATTCCAGCAGTCTCAAACCGATAATAATGACAGATATATTTACCTCATTTCACGCTGATTTGATGACAGTTTTGCTCAGACAGAGTTGATCAAATGAGCAGTGTGACGGGGCCGACAAAATCCCTTCGAAACCAGAGTGGCATTCTAGGTCAAAACTTAAACTAAAAGGGAATCACTCTGGTACTTTGAAAACTGCACTTGGACTGACTGTTTGTAATTGGTCTTCTGGTGTTATCTGCGTGAAATCACTTGATGAAAGATTCTTGTAACGATGTCCGACTTCTTAACGCTCCTCGATGTTTTTTGGGGGTTTTGACTGTTTGCTCAGTTCTTATTGCTACAAAGAAATGGTGCCAAATATTGTCAACGGCATTTTACTACACCACATATAATTAACCGTTTTTTTCCCTTTATTTGTCAATGTAATATAATGATTTAAAGTGCTTAACACAATAATGCTTAACATGATTTGAAGTGTGATCATGACTGATCTTTTCCCCTTATTCTGAAACAGGAGGCATGGATAGAAATTGTGTGCCAGTTTTGCATTGAAAAATATCAATAGTCTTGGGCTGGCCCTGGGAATGTGATTAATCTATATTATGTATATTTTTCAGTGTAGATATATACCATCCAATTGCACATAAATCAATGACTATATTCTACTCTTAGCCAGTTATGTGACCACAATAGACTTGCACAGTTTGAAGTAATTCTGTCAGCATTGTAGTTACCATATATAGCTTTTTACTATGTTTCATATTGATTGTAACAAAATGCCTGAAAAAACTTGTTCGCCGTGTATTCACAAATGTGTAAAAAGGGAACTGTCAATTTGTTTACTAATAAAAGATTGACAAAAATATTTTTTCCCCTCCTGTTTTGTGTGAGAAAGTAGGTCCTAAGTGCCTCGCTTCCTTATGTTAAGCCTAAGAGAGATGTCAGCGATAAACCTGTTCCTTGAGGATACAGTGACAATGTTGTTAGTGATTGGTTGTGTTTTTCAGTTGGCAGGCAGCCGCCTGGCTATATATATATAAATATGACACTTGAGATGTGCGTTTGACTGGCAGAGGGCTTTTCACTGCACTTTGAATAGTGCTGAGAGGGCAGAACGCTCATTTGACAACCTGCTAATCCCCCACTATCTTTATAAAGCATGTTTAAAAACAAATGAAAAATGGTGGGGGGGGAAATGTACATGGCAGTGTGAGAATAACATGAGTGCTAAAATAATTATGATAGCTTGACAGGTGAAAAATAAATTGATGTATGAAATTAATTAAAGGTACACATGGACACTGGTATAGTTCCAATTCCATAATTTTGCCATCAAGATGCTTTCCATTCAGGAAAACTTAAATGTTTCAGGTCAAGGTCTAACTTTATGCTGCTTTAAAACACAGGTGTAACTATAATAACGTTAATAACATTAATAATAGCTGCATAAGCAGTTAGATGCTCAGGTCTGCAGAGGCCCTTGCATTGTGCACACTGGTTCATTGATCCACGTAATTGGAATGGAGCCATCATTAATATTATTACTTACACCTATGGTTTTTTCTGCTGCAAGATTTCCAAAAACCTTCATAGTGAGAGGATTTATAAACCTAGAAGCTATGCTTTTTACTGTGAATGTGAATTTAATAACATTCAAATATTTAGATTAAATTTATTTTGGCTTCTTGGGTGCCAAAACGTGTTTTTTTTCCAAATTAATCTAAAATATGAATCAAAATGGCATCTACGTTTTTTATATTTCAAGCTGGTTAAATGTAATAAATTTGACAGACACTTATTTATGTTAGTCATCATATAACGATTAGCTAAGAGCCAAGTCTTTCTCCATGCCAGGTTATAGAGAGAGTGATTCCATTATGAGATTACATGTGGTATTGTCATAACAAGTTGTTTAAAAAGACTTGTTATGGGTTTATTGTTACAATGGAGAGCTGAAGAAAAAACTAAAGTGTGCAGAGAGAAAACAACTAATGAGTTAGTTTAAGATGTTCTGCCTAAATAGCGGAAGAGATTGCACCAAAAGCCTCTGCATAATCCTCAAGTGTTACGGGGATGTTATATTTTAACTCCAGTAGTAGTGCCAATGATGGAGTGTAACTAAGACATTTACTCAAGTATTGTATTTAAGTACAATTTTCAGGAACTTGCACTTTATTTCAGTATTTCTGCTACTTTATACTTTAGAAGTCAATATTGTACGTTTTACTCCACTACATTTATTCTGAAGCTTAATTTACTAGTTACTTTGCAGATTCCCGATATTAATACAAGATATACAGTATATATCAAATAATAAATTACTATGCGATATTATGGATTAAGCTAGCCGTAGTATGATATTATCCACATCTTTAACTTCATATTGACACGGTGGTATTGCTACTTTAACTTAAATAAAATATCAAAGTACTTCTTCCACCACTGTAAAGTGCAATCCTTCTTAAACAAATGTTCCCCCAGTAAGATATTACTTTGGAGAGTCAAAAGTGTGCCAGTTTACGCCCTTCCTGGTTATTTCACAGTAAATCAATGAAAACACGAATCCAAAAATGTTACAAAAAGTTACAAAAATGCCACAATAAGGCAAAAGGCTATTTTTCATCTGTAGTGTAGTCCCTGCAGTTTAATAATATGTACAGTATATACACACACACACACACACACACACACACACACACACACAGGACATATAGCTAGCAGCAACAAAACAATACTTTAGTGCTGATATATGTATCAAGCATCCATTGCTTTAGTTGGTTACTGAACGATATAAGTGTTTAGTTGTCTGGTGTGAATTGGAATTATATTCCACTCTCAAATAAATCACTAAATCTTAACCTAAATTTAGATGCTGGACTTTGTGGGCTGAAATAAAATAATAAATGTTGTATCCATGTCCTTAAACTCCTTGCACACTGGTTGAAGCGGTGGCCCCACCATCCCCGGGTGCACCCTGGCGTAACCCATCATCACCCCCCTGTCACCCTCCCCGCTGGGTGGCTATGCAGAGGCAGTGACGTCACCGGGCTGTCTCGCGCTCCCTTCCTGCTGCATCACAACAGCCGTTAGTAGCTCGAGTAGTACTGGTGACCGGGGGGCAGGATATCCACAGCCAATTCATTGATAAAACTACCCTGTTGACGTTGCAGCACGCAACAACATCCTAACACGGGGGTAACGGACAAGAACTGGTTGCAGTGCGATAACCCCGCTCCAGTTGTTGGGACATGGCCAGGCCGGAACAGGTTCTGCTCTTGGAGCCTCCGCACGAACTGAAATTCAGAGGTAAGAGGGGAGGGCCCGGCTGGGACGGGAGGGGGGAGCTGCCTCTGGGGCTAGGGGCTAGGGAGGGGGGCAGTGTTACGGTGACAAACCTGGGGGAATCTACCTTTCACATTTTGACAATATTACCCTCGTATGAAAAGAGTAAGAATGAAAGGACGGTAGGTCAACTGACAGCGAGTTAGCTTGTTAGCTAGCTGGATTAGCTTCCGACGGCTAACCAGGCTAGCCGGGCCCTGTCACACATTTCTGCTGCAGCAACTGCCATTAACGTGGTTTACAAGTGCAACACACAAACTACATGTCCACCGAGACGTGACAATCATAATAAGTATGTGACAACATCATTTGCCTGCTAAATGTATAACATTTCATTGCTCATAAGCTACAACATCCTTAGCAGGTGTAGCTAGCTAATGTACGCTCGCTCTCTGATTGGATGTCTCGCTCAGTTGGTCAGCCAGCTGTCATTTAATAACCTGACAGCTCACAGGACAACCTCTGCTACTTGATACGTGTTAACCACGGGTCATCAACATGCCCAAAATTCTTATCGTTTGGGCTTTACAATTGCTAATAGACATTTAATTGAAGCTCGGCATTTGGCTGAAATATGTCACGTCGCTTTAGGCCCAAATAATGTTACATAAACACATACTTGGTACTTACTGTATCTGTTTTGCAACAACACATATTCTGTCACAGTTTTAAATATTACACATTGTACCGTTTTTATAGTTCAAATGACAGTTAGCATTGTCAAACCTTTCCTCTTATCAGCAGCGTTGTCTTACTCAAAACAACTTTAAAACGAGTACAAATTGTACAGAACTAATCTGCTAGGATTTTAACCTGATCCAAGAGGTGCAATCACATCACACCTGTTTTAGCCTCTTTACATTGGCTCTCTGTTTATTTTAGGGTTGATTTTGGCATTTTACTGATTACGCTCTTCATGACTTGGCTCCAGATTATATTTTAGACCTATTAATCCCTTATGAACCTTTACATGTTTTAAGTGTTCAGTGCTCTCTTTTGTGTGTCTTCTAAAAATTGCTCTTCTTATATTGTATCATTCATTTGGGTATTTTATTTAATTGTGCTCTCCGTAAAGTACTTCTTACTTGTTTTGATAAGTGCTGTGTAAATAAAGTTTATTCTGTTATTATTATTATTATTATTATTATTATTATAGTGACGTTTAGAGATATCAGCTGTTGGTCTCCCAAATACAATGTGGACAGTGGTGTTTGTTTTAAGCACCCCAAAGATTACACTTAAAAGAACCAGCAGCACCACTATAAAGAATATGCTACTGTTTGCCCCAAAATCTACTGTGTTCAAGTGTGTAGTGATGAGCTTCGGTAACTCACATCAAAAGTAAGTTGGTAGATCATACTATGGCTAAGATGACGAGTTGGTTTTACTGTGTTGTAATGTGAACTGTAGTATAATGCTAATGTTCAAATGTGCAGCTAAGGTGGAACTAACTTGTGTTTTTTTACTTTGATTACAACGTAATGGCACATTATAAATGTATTTAACACCTTATACTATATACAGTAATGAAGTGTCTGAGTTCTATTAGGCTCACAGCGAGCCTGTAAATTGCGTTAGCAATAATATACGAGGTGCCCTGATACATGAAATAATGGACAAAGCAGAGGCGAGTAATGCCAGTATACAGTTTCCTCCACCAAGTTTGTTATTTTCTCTTCTCTTCAACCACTGTAAGACACCTCAAAGTCCAATGTACGAAAGGCAATAATAAGAAAAGTTGTGTTCAAATAGTTATACTTCTTAAAGCTTGTTTGTAGTTGATTTAACCTGCGGATAGATCTGTTTAATTAGTGAGAGTTTAGGAATAACGAACACTGGTGTTGTTCTTCATTTTTCTTGTTGTCTACAAATGCCACGGAAGGACCCAAAAGGTCTCTCAATACTTTTTAAACTTCCCTGCCCTGTCTGTGGCTTGTCGCCCCAAAGGCATTATATCACACTGAAGACGTGAATCTTTTTTTAAAAATACGGATTACAAATATTGAGCATGTTTGGAGCATTTTCAACTGCAGATTAACATGCACTCGTTGTGCTTGTGAGTATATTTACAGCACCATGACAATATGGGATTGCCTCAAAATAGTCAAATTCATTGTAATAAAGGAGCATGCCAAGCAGTGTAAGACTAATTTATGTATTTTAAATAGTTCTAATGAGGATTAGGCTATATTAGGCACAGGCAATACTTGTTAATAGGATCTATTTGTTGTTGGTTTAGGTCTTTTCATTGGATTTGTTGACGATAAGAAAAAACATAATATCGACGCTTTATCCTTTACGTGGTAACTTAGCATGAAGCAGAATCACTGTTTCTATAGTGTAATATACTTTGCACACTGATTTATGGTGGAACGATTGACTGTAAGTATGTTTGAGGTTTTCCATCATATGATTTAAGTGGACACATTCCAGCCAATCAGAAATGAGCAACACACACGCGTATATATCAAGTGTCCAATCAAACTTGTTGATGCACTAGTGTTAACCAGACAGAAGGAACTATGTGCCTTCTCGGTATAATAGACAATACCACAAATCACATGTCAATAAGTTCTATGTAGGGAGGCATTGTGACAAAGAGAGGTCTGTTGGTAGCAGCTTGTTAGGCTTAGGCTCAGACCATTTGTGGGCCAAATACTACTTAAGTGTTACTTGGTGTTACTTTCTATTAAATTCCATCTTTGTCAGGGGTACTATTAACAAATCTTAACAAAAAACTTTATCTGCTATTCATAAAATCTAACCTTGAAAGACAACAGCTTCACATATTAGCTCTTCATAGTAGTTTTTAACTGCCGTTTGTGGTTTTTTGTCAGTTGGACGCTATCCTGAGAAACTTTCAGGAAGTAGTATATCAGGTGTGCAGTAGTCTGTGGCGTGAGTCCCTTTCATTAAAAGCCTTTAGAAGTCAAGCCAAGCTTGTGAGGGTCTGAGTTTCCTCTGTCTTGACTCAAAGGGGAAGGGAAGTGTCAGTTGCTCTGGATGTTTGCTGAGCTGAAACTTTATCTTGAATCTGGTGTATGTGCTAATTCTGTAATAGCTCCATGTTTTCATGCACAGTTGGTGTGCCTCTCTCAACCGCAAAATGTTTTTCTCACAATAATAGCTACTGTAGTGGCCTAATTTCTTATTATGTTAGAAAACTATACTTTATTAGAAAACCCGACCTGGTTGAGTTTTGGAGTTAATAGTAATATCAGCATCAAATTACTAGAGATCCAAATTTGGATAACCGGAAGTTGGTTAACAAATACATTTTCTGTCAACACTAATAAGAAGTCATGAGTTATTTTCACAAACAAATCACTATCAATGTCTCAAAACCCAAATCAACCAACATGGTAGACTTCTACTGATATACTCATAGCCCATATAGCCTCACTAACTCATCATATGTACGATATGAACCGATTTTTAATATGCAGAAGCAAAGTGACAAAAAACATTGGCAACAGAAAAATTGGTCGTCTTTCATAAACGTAAACTAATTCATGAATGGTATTTATTTTATATGCTTTTTCAAGATACTGTTGAGTTCCAAACTCAACAGTTTCCGTAAGTCCGTCTGATGTAACCTGTGTGGTATTTGGCACCGTATCCGCTAAGTTTGGGAAGTCATACATTTATTTGTCATAGCCCTTCACTTGACTATGAATTAGCTTTGCTCTCACCGGAGGTACTGGAAAATCACGGGAGTGACTAACAGCTGCCGGTTAGCTGTCTGGATACGTTTCACTGTGCAGTTTCTGGAGTGACCTGTCAATAACGAAGCTTTTGCCAGAAATAACAGGAATAAATGAAGAACGTGTAACTCTGAGGTTTTGTGAGGGAGCACTTGGGTAATACATAGAATGAGATTTGTTGGAATCTGCACGCCCGCCAATATCTGCTGATAATATCAAAGAAGACTCATTAGTCTCTTGGCTTTCTCCAGGGTCAATGCATTAGCCAGATTAGGTTTTAGTACTTTTTTTTCTTTTTACGTAGTAAAAAATCATATCCAACAGATTTGACATTTCTGTTAATGTCGTTACCACTAAAGTGAAAAGAAAAGCTCACACCACAGTGAAGATCGCTTGCTCTTGAGACAGGTATTGAGTGAGTGCAATAACTATACCTCTGAATTCATCTGGTGCCTCTGAACGTCTGCCCTCATTTTATACATCTATATTCTTTCTATACAACAGTTGAAATAGGTCTGGTGTTGTGCTCATTGATGGCTGTTTAAACAGCCCAACCAATCAGATCTTTATTAAGAATGGGGACACTATCTTTCTGTGCCAACGACGGAGAAAGGAAAAAAATGCCCCAAAAACAAAGTTACTGCTGATTATTTTGAGCAAAATAACAATCACTCCCAAACAGAAAAAAAACACATTTCCAGACTGAATGATTATTAGTTTCATCTGAATCCACCTGTTTTGAAAATGAGCACCAAATACAAACATTATGGAACTGACAGTGACTCACAAAACAAGTATGTGTTTCCTAATTCTCTTACGTTATCCTAGTTTATATGTTTGTATGTATTATAGTTATGAACATCAGGGCGAAAAGGGGGGGGGGGTTCACACAGCTATGTGAAGCTGCTGGTTATTCCCATGCCTCCTCTACCTTTCCTCTCCTTCACGTCCTAATTTCTCTCAATTCCTTCAACCTCAGACCTAACTCAAACCTTTCCACCTTGACCACCATATCATTTCATAACCCATTTTTAAGAGGTTAAGACCACAGGAAAACGTGTCAAACATAGACAGTATCATGTTTGGGAAAGATTTTAACAAAAATTAAATGATCTAATTTACTTGATAGTTCAGATAACAGTAGTTGGAAAAATGTCAAAGGAAAAACAGAAACAATGTATTGTAATGATCTTTAGTTCTTTAGTGCCCACTGAAACAAACTCTGACCCTCTCGTGCTGCAGTCTGGAGGTAAACTCCCTTCACCTTCGCTCACCTTTTACATTTGGCACACATTTGCATTTTGCTGTGTCTTTTGTTGTGAGGGTTTTCTACATTATTGACAAATCTGTGCGGCTTAATGCATCCGGCCTTGTGAGAGCCTCGGAGATATGTGGCCTGCATCGACAATGATAGCTGTAGTTAGGTGAAGCCAAACTGCATCAGCTATTCTGACCATATAGTGCTGGTGCAGTAGCAGAGGCCTGTGAGTTATAGATCTGTACACACAGTTTACTCTTTAAAGATTTGGGTAAATTGACACTAGAACTGTTTTTTTGTTAATCAGAAGGACAGAATAGACATGTGGTCAACATCAATCTAGAGTGAAATGTAAAAGAAAAAGCAGATGGCTTGACATATTTACAATGATCCAGGTCACACCAGGTTGTGTTACTGAGATGCAATGTTTTGGGTTTTTATGTGAGAAACCGACTGGAATTATTTATCTTTAGGACAACTTCAAACGTAAAGAAGACCTGTATTAGTTGGATTGGCGGTAAAACCTTGTTTATCTAAAATGTCAGGTCGGATAAAGAAAGTGTGCAGCAGAAGGTCAAATTGTGGGCAGTAAATTTAATTTGTTGTAATTACAATCACATCCGTTTAGGTTTTGATAGACCACAATTAAATGTTTTAACATGCATGTCGCTCATCTATTTTCTTTTGATAAAGCTTAGATCAGTCCGTTTCTGCTGTGTAGAAGGTATTTTTAATAGAATTTGTGCTTAATATTTGGCAGACTGTTCTGATATTTGGTTCTCTATTATGACAAAGATCTTCAATAGTAATTGTACAACACAGTATATTACAATTTCCACACTTTCTGAATCAAATGAAGCCCCCAATCTACTTTCTTCCTTGTAATGTCAGCATAAAGAAATATGTAAAATTTAAATATATATATCGCTATATATAGATATATCTGTTTATATATATATATCTGTCTGTCTGTCTGCCCACGCTTGGTTGTTTGTCAGGTTTAAAACAAACAAAAAAAATGATTCAAACTATTGCTTTTCCTGCAGCAATGGATTATAGATTTGAATTTTCACGTTTTTTGCTCAGTTGACTACAAGACAACTTACACACGTTTGCTTGTTTGAGTTTGTATGCCAGTGGCAGTTTTATTCTTTGCATGCGTCATTTTCTCCAACCATTTGGCATTCAAACAATTTAAGTGACGTCAATTCAACAGCCTTTGATGAGTTAAGATTGAGATCATTTAAGATTTCATTCTCTGGGGGAAATTGTATAATTGTAACGAAGAGAACTCAAAGATGTTTTCCTGAACAACCCAAAACCAGAGTTTTTAAGTGTTTACCATATCTTCTCTGTTCACAGGTCCATTCTCAGACGTGGTCACCACAACTCTCAAGCTCTCCAACCCGACAGACAGGAATGTGTGTTTCAAGGTGAAGACGACGGCGCCGCGCCGGTATTGCGTGCGGCCCAACAGCGGAATCATCGATGCGGGAACCTCGATCAACGTCTCAGGTATTGATTGAGACATTAAAGTTATTATTATTAATAACTTACAGGCTACTTTAACTTGTAGCTGCTACTGTGCCTGAAACGATTAGTTAATTACAAGAAAAATTCACCTTCTTAAATATGAGGATTGTGCTGTTTTTTCTGTTAGACATTGTTTTTTTTATAGACATTGTCTCTTTGTTAGGCAAAGTAAACAACTTGAATGTAGTATTTCTGGAATGTGTTGAGATTTTATAGATTAAGATAAACCTTTATTTATCCCGGAGGGAACTTCAGGTGTGATTGCAGCAACATCAATGAGGATGAACCACAGTAGAGGTAAGAGTAAGAGTTCGGAAAGAAACCAAGATAATAAGAATGAAAATATAAATTCAAATAAAGATAAAGTAAAACACTGAGCAGCTGTCCCTTGATTCTTAACATATGTACAGTCTGTTAATAAATAACAATATGTGCGGTCTATCAATCTCTGTCTACGAATAGATATAAATGTACATATCCGAATATGAATGAATGAATATATGAGTCCATGTGTAAGTGCGCAGGATTAGGCGAGGTCCAAAGTAATTAGTTGCTCCAGCCATCATATGTAAGACCATCTAAATATCACAAACTATGTTTCTATTGGTATCGTGACTTAAAAACCAGGCATCTGTGAGAAGTAAGCTAATCTATCATCTCTCTATTTGCTCTTTTTACATAACGCCACTCCTCTCTTGTTACCCAGTATTCCCCCGTCCTCTTGCACAAGCCCCGCCTGGTAGGCCTCATTCCCTGTCGTGCACTCTGAGGGAGACGGGCACAGGCTAGTGTTTCCACACTGTGCCACCTCTGCCATTTACAGCCACCGACTCATTTTACAACTTGCCCTATCTGGTGTCAACAACTGCAAACTATGTTACCGGGGCCTACAATCGGCAGCGGGCGACAAATCAGCACAATCCTCTCTGTTAGTTGTCTTCATTTTTCACCCATTTTAGGTTGAGAAAGGTCAGAGGTTTGAGTCCCAAAAGGAGATTGTTTTTCTGAGAATGTAGTCACTGAACGCTTGGTCTGTAACCTCCTTCTGTCCAGTCTGTCTTCAGGGGAAACTCAAAAGGTGGCGTACTTAACAGGATAACAAGATGGTGTGGTTTCTCCTCTTGCAGAAATAGTGTTTGCTTTTTACACTGATCACGCATTAAGTTACTTTGATGTGAAACCCAGGTTTAGTACAAGCCCTGCAACCCTTTCTCTGCTGTAAGCTTTGTTGCAGCTTATAAGGGGGAAAGAACACGGTTTCCATTACATTTCAGTTCAACATGCAAAATGGCACATGCCGCTTATGCCATCTAGAATGGAGAGCTCTGTAAATAAAATGCCACGTGTACCAACATCATGTTAAAAATGTAAACAATAAACACATATTACATATGGCCTTTTGTGGCAGAATCCAAATAGTAAAGATCGGGCTGTACAGAAGGGTTCAAAGCTTCATTCATAACATTCACATTCTAAATAAATATCTGAATGCTGAGCAGCTAATTGTTTTGCATTTCTGTTTATTTTGTTTAAACCCAATATTTCTACACAGTAGCAGATACAGATTAAGATGAATTAATATTGTACTATTTGTAGAATTAGATACCAGTGGTGTCTGCATAGGATTGTTTCCAACTCATGTGATCCAAACATGTTCGATAACTCTAAAGCGTTGTGTAGTCCAAAAGTCAAACATTTAGTAACAAATAACAAAAAATGAAGTTTTTCCGTTTGTAGGGTGATGACATCATAAAATATGATGACAGACGTTCAAAGCTTTATTAGAAAACCTCAATAGAAGCTTTGACTGTAAAAGACGTTGGGTCCAGCCTCAGTAAAGATGCTATTCTGTCTAAAAGATGAAAATTCAGATTTAGAGATGTAGTGTCATACCTGCCACCTTGTGTGCTGCCTAGACTCTATTTGACTGGAGTGCAGTCATATTTGACTATGCAACTGTGTTATGCAGAAGGAAATGCATTCAAATATTGTTGTATTTCATTTTCTTTCCGTCTAAGAAGATTGCATTGGATGTGTAACTTTCTGGCCTGTAATATTGAACAAAAGCTACATTCCAGTTGACTTGCATCGAGGCGAAAGGGAACAGTCTGCCACAGGATACCTACAAACCCCGAGATGTGTCATTCGCTGGCTCAGCTGAGGATACACGCAGGGCTTTTTGAAGCTCAACCCAGCTGTAACTGTATATGTTCAACGTAGCCATGACCACAGGAATGTTGCTGAGGTCGATCGGTGTTATGTAGCAGCATCCAGTGGAAAAAATATGTGGCGTGAATGTTTCAAAAATCCTTGTGTCCACAAATATTGAGCTTCTTCTGGGAATAGGTCAGAAGTTTGTCTGACATGCTCGAACTTGTTATCATTTCAAGGGAGGTAGAAAAAAAAAAAGAACACACCGCAATAAAAAAAAAAAAGAATTATTTTTTTTCCAGTTATCTTATTAGCATCATTTGAATGCCCTGATGCTCATTTCTAGTGTAAGGGCAAGAAAGAAAGGCAAGAAAGGCATTCTCCTGTCTTCATTGATATCCATTTCTGCTAATACGCTACAAACAAGGTCTGTTCCAATATTTGTTATTTGCTATTTTAACCAACAACTTGATTTCTATAACTTTACCTCCGAGTGGTCGCTAATGTCTGCAGAACAGCCGTGGATGGAATGCTATTGACTCCTGAGTTATTTCCCACCCTGGGAATGGTTCCCTTCTCTCTCTCTTCCTCATTCCCACGCTATGTCGTCTCGGTGGGTTTGCTGATCTTTGACCAGGTTTTTGGTGTTGAGTAATATTGAACAAAGTACGAGAAGAGGAGCTCCCTTTGTTCACCAGTAAGGCTTGTCTGACAAGGTGTGGAAAGGTTGCTGTTCTAGATGTGAGGTGTAACAATGAGGTGCATGGGATCATGTGTCGTATCTCGTTTTGAGTCACATTGTGTCGTAACGTGAGCTTGTGTCTAGTTTTGATGAGTTCATTGTTTTGGTCATTACATTTTTGTTTGGCAAGATTGTATGAAATGTCTTGTACGAGGACTTTGAGCCAACTGTCGCCTTGTTTTTGAGTTTTTAAGGGAGTGTTTACAGCCCATTGGTTGCTTGTTATATTGTCAAATACAGTTTTTGTTTTCGACTATGCTGCCGAAAATTCACATTGAATAAGTCAGGGCAATGCTGTCTAGTCTCAAGTGTTATACTTGTATTGAAATTGAGTGACCTAAAACTTTGAAAAAGGCACATTCTCATGTTAATGTTCCTGTATCGAGGACATATCATTATGCCATGCTTCTGCAATGAATGTTGTCAAACCCAAAGCTGTAGAGAAGAGCTGAAACAAGTTTATTAATCAGTTACTCACAGAAAATGTGTGGTTCTAGCTTCCTAAATGTGATGGAATGCCATTGTTTTTTTTAATGTTGGTCGGACAAGACTAGACATTCATTTGAATCATTTTCGGACATTTCATCAACGAAGCAATTCATTGATTTATCAAGAAAATAGCTGATTTCTATTTTAATTATTTGATAATAGAAATAAGTTCTAGTTTTGTCCCGACAATAACCCTGTATTAATTCTACTCCATAGACCTCCATAGACCTCTGTAAGCAGTTAGTGGTTACTCTGTTGTGAACATCTTGTCTCATGGGACACAATTAATTTGTGAAAGGAAGGTTTTCTTACCTCCCTCCCTCACCCCTCTAATGGTTCCATTCATCATCAACAAGCAGGCAGGCGATTACATCCTGCTTGACCGTGTTGAACACAATTAGCCTCTGTGAGTTTCATACATTACGGCCCAGTGTAAAGCAGGAATACTAAATCATGCCATTAGCAGAAGTAGCTTTTTGTGTGTAGCTTAAACGTGTGGTCACAGTCTGTCGATCAAAGATGATTTAAATAACTTTCTCCTTTCCTGTGGCGTTGCTTTTTCCATATCAGGCTTTTTGGCTTCGGGACCCTTTTCATGTTTTTCTCTGTTGCTCAAAGAACTTGCATGCCTTCCTGCCTCCATTCTCTAGTATTGTCCCCTTGGACTCGAGGTAGATGGGCGTGCAAATTGGGTCTGACTGAAACAGGACGTTCTCAATCTGTTCGTGCCGTCTGTTTCTGGTTTGCGATATTGAACTGCCCTGATTGCTGTAATGGTGCACTGCATCTCTGACGTCTCCCACTCTAGGGAGAATTGGCATGTGCCATATATGAAAACCATCCTGATAGCTACACCGGCTTTGAAATTAGGAGGTCATTTGGCCAGAGCAAGCCGAAGAATCACGCAGGCATTGTAGACACAGTTGGTACTGATGTCAAAATATGCCTTTCAATTACAGCCTCATTTAAAAGGTGAAAGGAGTAAATCCCATCAATAGCCATTTCTTCTCCCTCTGCACTTCCACCCTTAACTTTAAGACGGACATAAGAAAGTGATCATTGTAAATCATCATTACAGCTTTAAAATACCTTCTCAGTCATTGGAATGACATCAAATAGCACGGCACTGACTGGGAGGACTGATGTGGTGACGGGTTAAAGTCCGATTCCAACACCTGCTTTGTGTTAGAGCATATGTAATGTTAAGAAAGAAAAAGACAGGGTTGGAAGCTGTTACAAAAATTACTCCTATGGGGCATTTGTAGATCTGTCAGTGTTTTGCCGTCATGGTAACACAAACTTAGAAATAAATCATCTCCACCAAAGCCCGGAGCCGTGAAGACTTTACTGTTTGACAAACGCAGGGTTTGTGATACTCACTCCTAATTCCTCTTTAATCCGAGGAGTGGACACAGAGTTGAGGAAGGGAGAGAGATGGAAAAGCTTAATTGCTGGAGTTTGTCTGTTTTTAGGGCAGCGGATTTTACCCACAAATCATTTTATTTTCCTGCCTGTCTGCCACAGTTTGAATAATACTAACGAGACACTTTGTTTGACCCGTTCTCCAGAGGATGGGAAGTGAGGAATCGGAACTAAAACTGAGGGACTGTAATGATCATGTGGGGGACTTCCTGTTCACACTGCAACTGCTGTTACTTATCGGCCCCAATTCTCTCCCCATGTTTCCTGTTTATCTTAATTATCAGTTGTTTTCTGAAGGGAAAGAAATAATCTGAAAACATGTTGCTCTGTAAAGTCTGTTAGATCAGTCGTGACTTCATAACAGCAGTACCACACGTGACCTCGACCGTCATTTTGTGTTTCAGTTATGTTGCAGCCTTTTGACTACGACCCCAACGAGAAGAGCAAACACAAGTTCATGGTCCAGTCTGTGGTTGCACCTCCTGACATGACCGACATGGAGGGAGTGGTGAGTGTATCTTCTTCCTAAAAATCTCTTTTCTCCATCGATATGTTTTAGCCGTGTTTGCCCGTGCTTTAAAACAAACATGCTTTGCACACACATGTAACACGGTCACTCATACAGCAGACACTGTGATCCACAACAACAAAAAGAGGTAGTCGATGTGCACGTCCCAGCCTGGATCAGAGACACAGTGAACACCATTGAATCGTAACTGTCTGTGTGTAGTCTCAAAGTCATCTCTGAGATCACTGGCCAACAAGTACAGTAAATATTTATATGCCAGTAAGTGTTTTAAGAATACCTGACAAAACTGTATACTTTCGTGGATGCCGACCCTTGGGACTGTAAACCTCATGAGGTCTGCTGACACCTAATGAGCCGTCTTATATCTGTGCCATTCGACATATTCTGAAAGATTCAAACTATGTCCTGTAAAGGCTTTACCCACTGTTGATGATGTATTGAAAACAAGTATAATTAAACGTATAATATTTTACGTAGTCTGTATATCTTATGCATATTCATTTTATGTTCTCTGTAATATTGTAACATTTTAATATTATAAATATAAATAGTGGTCTCTAGGTGGAGGCTTCAAATAAGCCCAGTTGGCTTTTTGCCTCTTCCTTTACTGTGATATCATTTATCTCTGTGATGTTTGAATTTTGCAAAAATAAATAAACTAAACTATACTGATTCTAGTTCAGTCTGTTGACTTTCTAAACATCACATCTAAAAAGTGTTTGTCAAACTCAATTTACAATACTAATACAAATGCTCTTCTGAAATTATGAAAATAAATGGTGGACATGAGGAGGTAATTTAGGAATGAATTCATCTCAGAGAGTGATAAAGGCATGTTATCTTTTTGTATTTACTGGAGCCAAACCTAAATCAATGCTGAATCCTAAATCCAGATATTATGTTGGAATATGTTTACTATGTCGGCCAGTCATTATCAGCCGCCTGTAGCAAATGGGTCCTTTTGCCTTGATAAATAATAAATCATTTGTTGGTCCTTTCTTCTTTATTTTTGGTCCACTATTCCAGTGGAAGGAGGCGAAGCCAGACGAGCTGATGGACTCCAAGCTAAGGTGTGTTTTTGACATGCCGGTGGAGAACGAGAAAACGGTAAGCACATGCGGTTACGACACTTTCTCCTTGTCACTACAGATCGGATATCAAAGACACTACATGAAATTATGTGTCACATGGTTTCCAGCGATTATTTCTGAAAAAACATAACATTTCTGATTAGCATAATGTATCATGCTGCTGGTTTTTACAAAACACAACACATTTAGGCCTTTTTATTGCCTCCTTTCCCCACAGTACAACGTCTGTTTACTTGTTAGTTTTTGTCCCAAGGAAGGTCTGCATTATTTATGGAGCGATGATGTTAATCGCCGTTTTCCAGCTCCCGACCTCTCTGCTGCTCTGCTGTATCTCCCTTCTCTATCCTGTCCCATCTCAGTCTTCATCTCTGCTCATTTTTTTGTACTCTTACGCCCAGGCCACACACTGCCTGTGTGATCAGAGTGTGTGCGTCGCAGAACCTGTTGCTTTTTATTTTGGCACCCATGTTAACAGATTTGAGCAGCCACACAGTCTGTGGGCCTATTTGTTTCCATGTGTTGTGTGCGGTTCACAGCAAAAATAAGACGGTGAAAATAAGTCTTTTGACAGTATATTGACTTCATACCAGCAACATTACTACGGTTTCGATGTCTATATCTGTAGAACATGTCACAGACATGGACAAAAGTCATAATTCATTTTTAACTGAACATTTCCTGTTTCTCTTTTTAAAAATAAAAGCCCTCTAGTGTCTTTCTGTAGACAGAATCCCTTCAGTTAACACAAGGCTTTTATTCTGAAATATTTTCCGGAGTGATGTGGAAAATGCAGTTTTATTTGTGGATTGTTATCGTTATTTACAAATGTGCACACCGTTTTTAACCTTTTTCTGTCTAAAATAAATATAGAAGACATTGACAATATATACAATGAAAGGAAAAATTTGGGACGTTATGAAATACAAACTACGTAGAAAGAAAGGCTGACAGACGCCGTCTGTCTGGACAACACGTGTGGGAGACGCAGCAGTTCAGCAAGGCTTTGTCATTGTCACTTTTTTCTATCTTTTTAAATTTAAAGCATTAATCTTCATCCCTCTCTCCATCTTTCTTACACCCCCCCCCCACACACACACACACAGGCACCATCAGCTCATCAGAGGGTCATTTTGTTGCAGTTTATTATTGTAGTGATTCCTCTCAGACCCCACACAGCTGTAGAGACTTTATCTCGTCACGATATGAACAAAGTCTACTGATTGCATGAACACGAGGAGGGAAAAGGACCCGCGGTGGTTGTTTTCAATTAATTTTGAGCTGTGCGATACATACACATGGCTCCCAGTCAGCACCACAGAGTCCGTTAGACGGAGATACTACTGATAGGAACCAGCTTGATCCACTTCTGAAAGGCACCCCTGGGTGAACTCTCCCACAAACATGGAGATAGGCAGCTTGAGATGAGGCTTTGTTCCTACATATATGAAGTCTCAGGATATAAACATAAGCATTGCAGTGTGTGCCGTGTGTCAGCCAAGTCATCGGTCAGAATCGCCATGGAAACACTGTAGCGGCAAACACACATGTTATTGCGTAATAACTTGTCGCCCTGTTAACTTACTTGCAGCATGACACGGAGTCCAACAAGATGATGTCGTCCAGCTTGCTGAAGTCGGACTCCTCCTCGCTGCCTCTGAAGTCAATGAGCTCCACCCTGGATGACGGGGAGGTGAAGAAGATCATGGAGGAGTGTAAGAGGCTGCAGATGGAGGCTCAGAGGCTACGGGAAGAAAACAAACAGATCCGGGTGAGTGAGATGACGTGAGGACCAATGGCAGTGAAGACACAGGTATCACTGTAGTCTCACTCTCACGGCTACACGGTTATTGGTTTCAGAGGTAGTAAAACACTACTTGTTTCCCTAAAGTGTAATCAGCGTAATATTATACTTCATAAAATCATCTCTTTATTTTTAGCCCTGCGTGTGGCTTCAGATGTTGCTGTATAGATTTACTTTAAGGTAGTGTATTGAAATGAGTAACACTGAAAACAGCCATTGAATGTATTTCTTGGGCATATTTGCATACAGTGGAAATTACTGGATATAAGTTACTGTATGAATCAACATATCAAACTGTGAGCCACTCAGTGTGAACAACAACAACTGCAACAAACAATGATCTTCATTATCATTACGTCTGCTGATTATTTTCTTATTATTTGGTCTATGAAATACGAGAAACTCGTGAAAATTACTTACTGTCGTGTTGCAAAGAAGACATATTTAAATGTTCACACTTCAGAGGTTAAAACCAGTTCATTTTTAATTAATTATCAAGATTGTAGCTGATTAACTAATCAATCAGTCGACTATTCGTTTCACCTCGAACTAATCTGTCGGTTCAGTCTTGTTACACAAGGAATAATTCTTTCAACCAATCTCTCTTCAGGCTTGAATTAAATGCAGAGAGCTGAATGAGCAATCACCCAAAATTAGCAGCTGACATCACTGAACATGCAGAGTCACATTTGGTTATTTTTCTCTGTACTGATTGATGTTCACAATTAAGATAAGACATTAAGTGGAAATGTGATTCACACAGAGTGCTGGTTCCAAATGGCATTGCGGTGTCCCTCCACGCTTTGCTGTGTTTCTCTGAATAGAGACAGCGATCCAAGAGTGAGGTTTGCATTAAGTGCAAGTGCTCGGATCCATAATCGATGGCAGACTTCAGCGTTCATCGCTCGTAAGGCAATTTAGCCAATCAATGAGTTCGCCATCAATCACAACGACCAGTGAAGTGAGGCTAAATTGGGTTTTGTTCGGGTTAGGTTGGAAACGAGTCCCCCCCCGCGCGCGCGCGCACACACACACACACACACACACACACACACACACACACACACACACACACACACACACACACACACACACACACACATACACACACCCACACACACACACACACA